CTTTTAAGGTTTTGAAGGGTGACCCATAACGACCAAAAATGAAATTAAACAAAAGGGGACAGGAGATAATCACGTCTGTCGATTATCTCAGATCCTGTGAGCTCACGTAGATACATTGACCAACACCACACACCTATGATGATGGGGAGCCACTCGTTGTAAATGATGTGTTGTTCCTGAGCAATGATGATCCTGCGGGTCTCCTGGAAGACAGCCTCGTCTGACCACTGGGGGTTCAGTCTCTGAAGTTCTCCTGCTACACGGTTGTGCTGTCTCACCCACAGGGTGTGAAGACCGGTCAAGCTAGGCTGCTCGTTCACTCGTGAGTCACCTATAAGGATCCCCAGAGCATATATTTTACTTCATAAATGTGATGCAATGTTGTATTATATACACTGACGTATTGTTGTTACTTTTATATTGAATATTCTAAGTGGTTGTAGATGTGAACATGTTGTGGAAACTTTTTTAAAAGTTTATAAATTAATGGAATGTATAATTCAGTTCTTTATGAATGGGATTTGCTTCTAAAATTTTATATTGGCCATGTTTATTCATTGTAGGTGACGAGCCCATTACAAAGTGTTATAATGAAAGCATCATCTACATAATATTATATACAAGTCTCATATAACTCATAATAACTTTTCCCACATTGGCTTAACTGAAGCAACATTTTATACAATACTGAATATATTTGTTTTTCTGGTATACAAGAGGTGTATTGTTCCCATTGCGTGTTAAGTAAAAAGTGTTCCTCAACCATATCATTCGAATTAGCGTCGGAGAGCACAAACCCTAACCTCTCCATCAGAGACCAAAATCATGAGAGTTTTTTTTTCTAAATATTGCGTCCCTTTTCTCAAAATAAAACGATTTTCTAAATTACATTGTACATCCTGCTCCTCGTATGAATCACTAAGTTACAGCTGATTCTAAACATCAGCATTACTATAAAGTTAGTGTCAATAAGTGACGAACCTGCAGTGAAGCAGAAAGCTCCACGTTCCCGAGCCTCGCAGTCTCCTCCCTGGTTGCTGTTAATGGGTAGCAGGTTGTTACCAGAGATCTTCATGAGTCCGTTACTGAATGACCTCAAGTCCTTCATTTGGTCCTGAGTGGAGCCATACACCACAGAGGCGTCTATCCAGTGTGTAAGCTGGTTCAGCTGTGTTACATATAATCCATGGATTAGAGTGAACATCTAGCACAATATTTTCTAAATACAAAAGTAGTGAAATTTTGTTTCCATAGATTCAAATAAACTCTTCCTTGAAAATGAAAGAAACAAGAATGTGTTAATGTAGTATCTACCTTATAGAACAGGCTAGTTTCCGGGCTACTGCTGTAAAATGAAATTTGATGTGAAGTGAAACATGGACTTTCAACCTTAAATGATATAAAAGTTGGATAACATGTTCATACTAAGTAATAGAGCTAGGCCTACAAAATGATTTTACAGTTCATACATTACTTATCTTAAAATATTTCCGTTCTTAGCTTATAGGGAGTGATGAGTGTATTTATTGAAGGAAGTTTGAATAAATAAAGACTGAGTATAATTGAAAACCACTGCATTAGCAAAACGCAGTAAAGCGAAGTATTATAAAGCAGGGCCCTCCTGTATCAGTAATTTATCTGGTAATCAATTAATATAATACCTCAACAGTGATTAGTAAAAGCAGTATAGAACCTTAAATGAAATTATGAAACAAGAGATTAGCAGATTACTCTTGTGATCACTGGTGGAAAGAAAATCAGTATAAACATTCAATATTTTAAGTAAGCAACAGAGATACTGTAGGGTTTATTACGTTTACAAAGTTAATATATATAGCTAAACTGGAACAAAAATCCCAGGTATAACATGGGAATAAACTAAGAATAAATGTTGCACTAGTCACTCCACTTACCTGCTCAGCATGACCAAAAGTGCAGTCCGAACCCGTTCTGACCGCAACCATGCTCCTGACGAAGTTCATGCAGGTTCTGCCTTGGGGACCATAGAAGGGGTCACCAGTGAGATCAATGGGGCATGCACCTTGGATGACGAAGGTTCTCAGCTACCATGTTCCATTAGGACAACATTTCAATTCCATCTCCATTATCTAAGAGTGTGAAATATAATGAATTTAAAAAGAAACAATTTAAATATTGTTGATTTTTCGTACGCAAATATTGCCTTATAAATAAGCTGATATATATAAAAAAAAAAGAGCAATATATACATAACTCCAGAATTTGGGGATCAGTTGTTATAAACAAGATAGAATGTAACTTTTGGAAAATTGTCTTACCCATAGTAGGGAAAGGAACATGGGCAAATTCATGTCGATGAGCTGTGCCCACACCATGAGGGACAATGTGTAGGCCTCGTCTGGCTGATTTACGTCTAACAACACGTTACTGCTAATGCGACGCACATTGGGGAGAGGAGAGCCATCAACTGCTCTGGAGCGAGGTTCAAACACTCCTGTGAGAAATGGACCACTGACTGTCGAGTGTTAAGAGTACATGTTATTCATATGCTTGAGAGTTGTGAAAGTTGCAGCGAGGAGGAGGCTGGAGGCAGTGGAGATGTGTCTAATCGCAGTCACTTCATATTGCTAAATATTACGCAGAGAATTCGTAGTTTGGAGATTAGGAGGTGCGGAGTTATTAAAAGTATTATCCAGAGGCCTGAGGAAAGGGTTGCTGAGGCGGCTTGGTCATTTAGAGATGATGGAGCAAAATAGACTTGGAGGGTGTATAAATCTGTATTGGAGGGAAGGCGATATAGGAGTCGTCCTAGGAAAGGATGGAGGGAGGGGGTAAAAGTTTTTTTTGGCGTGTGCAAAGGGCTTGGACATACAGCAAGCATGTGTGAGCGTGTTAGGAGTGGAGAATGGTTTTTGGGATTTGACA